CGTTTGAATTGGTTTAGCTCCTCTTGCATAGCCAAGGTCCAATGTTCATCGTTTATTGCTTCGGAAATGGTTGTAGGTTCAATTTGAGAAACAAAAGCCATGTGTCCTACGGTGTCCCTAAGTGAGTTACGAGTACTTACCCCGCGGTTGATGCTACCGATTACCTGGTCAAGCGGATGGTTTTTGTTTGTTCTCCATGCTATGGGAAGCTCGGTTGCTTCTTCTTCGTGTTCTTCTTGTTCTTCTTCTTCCTCCGGATTTTCTTCGTCACCTTGGTTGGTCTCTTGAGGTATCTCTCCAGTTTGTGGCTGCGTGTTGATGTATATACCCGTGTTCTCTTCATCGTCATCAACGTGTATTCTCTCCAATGAATCTGCAAGATCATCACAAATATCCTTTCTCGCCAAGCGAGGATTATCTTCGGAAAATACAACGTGAGGAGACTCCTCGATAGTCAAGGTACGTTTATTGAAGACTCTATAGGCCTTGCTACGTAATGAGTAACCCAGAAAAATTCCTTCATCCGACTTGCATCAAATTTGCCTAAATTGTCTTTGTCATTGTTGTGAATAAAACATTTGCAACCAAAGACTCGAAGATGGGAAAGGTTTGGCTTTCTCCCTTTGTATAGTTCATAGGGCGTTTTCATGAGTATCGGTCGAATGACGGCTCGGTTTAACACATAGCTCGCGGTACTCACGCCATCCGCCCAAAAATACTTAGGGATTTTTGCCTCATTGATCATAGTTCTAGCCATCTCTTCGAGACATCGGTTTTTACGTTCCACCACTCCATTTTGTTGTGGTGTACGTGGGGCTGAGAAGTTATGATCAATGCCAAGTTCGTCACACAAATCTGAAAACAGATTTTGTTCGAACTCTCCCCCATGGTCGCTTCTTTTGGCTACTATGGTTGTTTCTTTTTCATTTTGAACTTTCTTTAAGAAATTTTTGAAAACGTGAAATGCCTCACTTTTATGAGTTAGAAACAAGGTCCATGTAAACCTAGAGTAGTCATCGACAATCACAAACGCAAAGTAATTGCCACCAAAACTCTTCGTTCTAGAAGGACCAAAGAGATCCATGTGCAAAAGTTGAAGCGGTCTAGACGTTGAAACAACGTTCTTAGACTTAAAAGAAGCCCGAACTTGCTTCCCCTTTTGACATGCATCACATATGATGTCTTTTTCAAACTTAAGTTTTGGAATACCAATTACTAAGTCTTGTGAAACCAATTTATTCAAAAGGTTCATGTTCATATGAGCTACCCTTCGGTGCCATAGCCAAGTGTCTTCCTCTTTACTCATGAGGCACTTAGCAAAGCCGGAAGGAGATTTGTCTAAGTTAACCATATAAATGTTATCGATTCTATCACCACGTAGAATGACCTTATTGTCACTAAGGCGTTCTACAGTGCATGATTTTGAATCGAAGGTCACACAGTTTCCCTTGTCACATAATTGACTTATGCTCAAGAGATTGTGTTTAAGACCTTTGACTAGCAAGACATTATCTATAGAGGAGTCTTCGGACTTACCTACTGAACCGACGCCAATAATTTACCCTTTGCTATTATCTCCAAAGACTACGTTTCCTTCTTTAGCGGGTTTGATTTGTAGGAACTTGGATGCATCTCCGGTCATGTGCTTGGAGCATCCGCTATCAAGGTACCACAGTACACTTGACGCCTTCAAGCATACCTACAAAGATGATTTAATAACATTTAGGTACCCAAGTCTTTTTGGGTCCTTGAGTGTTAGGAGCAAAGTGGTAGTGTGATTCATTTTGTGTCCAATGCCTATGCCTAGTAAAGCAAACGGGAGCTATATGTCCTACCCTATTGCAATAATGGCAAACTACGTTTGGGTTGTGCATCCTCCTAGGTTGATAGTAGTTGCTAGGGGGCCTAACCATATTCAACCTGTTTTGTGAAAACATTGGTTTTTGAAAATTTTCCCTTCTAGGTGTCCTAGAATTATTTTGTCTATTTGAAAAATTATTTTTATGCACGAAATCATTTTGATAACTTTTCCTATGTTGTCTAGCATGCGCATTTTCGTTCCTAGGTTTTTGTCTAGGTTGTCTAGTGTCCCTAGGTTGACTAGATTTTCTATTATCCTGATTTTTAACTTTCTTATGTTGAGCCTTAGGTGGTTGTCTAGGTGTTTGCTCAACGTTTTTATCCTTAGATTCATTTTTATCAAAACCTATTCCTTCCTTAGAAAAATGCATGGTGTCAAGGAGTAAATTAAGATCTTTGTGTGGTGTATTAAACTTCTTAACCGTACTCTCAAGTTTTGCAACCTTTTCTTTTAAAGTTTTGCAAGACTCACATTCACTTGAAGAACTTTCTGGTTTGTCAGCGCTTCTTTTGCCATAAAATTTGTTTTCTTGTTTCACCCTTTCATTATCTTTTTCCAGCTTTTCAAAATCATTTTCAAGGGTTGAAAGACGTTTCTTTAATGATTTATTGGTTTTAGAAGCGCTAACAAATTCGTCATAGAGCTCATGAAGTGCTTCTTGCATTTCTTCAAAAGTATAAGAGTCGGAAGAAATGGTACATACCTCTTGAACGTCGTCGGTTTGATCTTCGTGCGCCATGAGGCAGAGGTTGGCGGCTTCCTCCTCTTCTTGATCAGTTGACTCGTCGCCGGAGTCGCCACCCCATGAGATATAGGCTCGTTGCTTTTTGAAGCCAGGTTTGTCCTTGCCGCTTTTGCCTTTTGGACACCTCGGCTTGATGTGGCCTATCTCGCCATAGCCATAGCACTTCGGGGGACCGTCGTGCTTTCTTCCTTTGCGCTCAAATTCCTTCTTCATAAATTTGTGGAATTTCTTGATGACGAGTCCGAACTCGTTGTCATCATCGCTTGAGTCTACTTCCACGGTCTCCTTGGTTGCTATCAGCGCTATTCCCTTCTTCTTTTGTTCATCCAGAGACGGGGTTAGAATAGTGGATTCATAAGTTTTGAGGTTACCTCTTAGCCCGTCGATGGTGACATTGGAGACTCTGATGGATTCGTAGATTGCGTCAGCCTTTGATCTCCATTCGGGTGTGAGGCTCCGCGGGATTTTCCTCACGAGATCCTTGTTGGCGTACGTCTTCTTGAGAGCGTGAAGGTTGTTGATGATTTTTGAGAACCGATCGAACATGTCATCGATCTTTTTGCCTTCCTTCATCCTGAACATCTCGTACTCCTGCGTTAGGAAGTCAATTTTGGCTTCCCGAACTTGGTCCGTACCTTCATATGTGACCTCCAGCTTGTCCCGCAGTTGTGCAGCAAGAGATCTTGCGATAATCATCTGGGTTGACCGCGCAGTACAACATGTTGATTGCCTTGGAGTAGTTCTCCACCTTTTTGATGTCTTCGGCATCAAATTCGTCCTCGGTCTTTGGGACGAGTTTTTCATCGACCTTCTTCATTGGAGTTTCCTCGCCATTCTTGATGACCAACCACAACTGAAAGTTGGTTGAGCGGATATAAATTCTCATCCTCTCTTTCCACAATATGTGTAGTTGGTGCCATCAAAGAGCGGTGGCCTAGAGGTTGATTGACCTTCTCCAATTGCTGCATAAAGATTTCTAGAAGAATAACCCATGATCGCTTTACTCTCAAGCGGTTAAGTTTGGACGCGAGTTAGGCTTTGATACCAATTGTTAGAATAAGTGACCAACGCTAGAGGGGGGGTGAATAGCGTTTGATTGTAGAAATCGCAGGAATTAAAAAATTAAAAGAGAAGTGAAGAAAAGAGTAAGAGGCACACCGAATTTTACCCTGGTTCACCACAACTTGTGGCTAATCCAGCCTCCCGAGAGACTCTCTCGAGCTACACTACTATCTCGTTAAGCTTGCGGGTGCTTAACAAACCGTTACAACTTGAGAGTTCGAGTTACACGAACCTCAACGAATCCTTCAAAGGAAACAGCCCTTCCTTTGAAACTACCGAGAGAAATACTTTCTCTCAAAGTGTCTAAGAACACGAATACACTCAAGAACGAGACTCTCTTATAGAGTAGATTATGAGTAAACTAAGAACGCTCAAGAACAACTCAACCTTCACACAAAATGGCTCTAGAAAGCTATGGAAAATGGTGATATTTGAATGCAATGAAAGTATGAATGTTGTGAAGTGAATTGGTGAGAAAAGCAGACCCAAACACCCCTTTTTATAGTGCCAAAATAGGCTCCAACGGACCAATGCATTAAAGGGGTGATTGGCTTGATTTATGGGATTGAAAAAATTTGGGATCTGCAGAATATTGGCTTCCCATCGATGTTTAGACTCAACCATCGCTGGTAAGCCAATTTT